TCCCAACGGTATGCCTACTACAAAAGTATATTTTTCACTTGGGCCATATTTGTAATAATAAATGTTGAGAGAATAAAACACAAATTCAACTGGACGAGAATATTACCTAGATACAGCATCGTAGAATGAATAAATTTTGCTGCATGTTAAAACCTCCATAGTTAAACATTTACAAGAAACACGAGAATCAGCAGCGCGCTTCTTTGGCGCCATCGCCTGTCGAATCAGCAGACACGTGTGCGACAGCTTTCTTAACCAGTGGGCTTTCAGAAATTGTTTTCTGTGCTGCTGCTGATGTGACAATAAAGTAATTTGGTAACTTCGTTTATAAATAGACAAAAGAAGCTAAAGTTACTTAGTGAATTACATGCTATACAGAAATATATAACAATTATTTAATTAACAAAGTTGGACATTTCAACACTTACCGATAAATCCGTTTGGATGAGACCACGACATCTCGTTGAAGCGAGTAGGCGTTGTTTGAGTCGAGTGACTCGGTTCGGTTCTAGGAATCGGCTCACTTAAGTGATTTGTAAGAGTCGGATCCCACCCGAAACCGATTGCATTTTTGTGTAATTACCAACACGATTGATTAGCATTTCGCTATAACTCAGCCACACGCATTTACACTATACACTAATTACATGTTGATGACAAGCTTTTGAACACGTGCGATAAAAAGATTTCCGATCTCCCAACAAACAGTTCAATCCAAAGACGGTTCAATCCAATACAATAATCAATACTGCTCTAAATGTACCATTAAATAAAGTTTTAACGGTTGTTCACGCGAGAATGTAGTTGTTTAAAACTCAAATCCGCTGTTTATTTCTAAAGATTGTGCGTATTTATAAATGTCCTTTGAAAATTGCTGACATGTCCACCTCCAGGTCATGACGGGCGCTCATCACTCGTGTCCCCGGCGAGGGCAGCTGGTCCTCGGCGACTTGTGTGACTCTGGCTAATCTGAAAATGCTCATTTTAATCACGTTGGATTTAATTATTATTTTCTCTTTCTGAAATTATTCAAAAATAACAGCTAAATTCTTATAATAAAATGACGTTGGATTTAATTAATATTTTCTCTTTTTGAAATTATTCAAAAATAACAGGTAAATTCTTATAATAAAATTGATTAGATTTTATCACAGACATTTTTAATTAATTTCAAAGAAAAAAAAATGCCCTAAAATCAGGAAATTAATTTAATTAAATAAAGTGTACATATTAATATTAATGAAATCTACAAGGCCACAAAATGAATTTTTACAGTGTAATGTTACCTAAACACTGGGCTACACACCTCCCATCCACAACTGGCCCAAATGTAGTTTGCCGTTGTGCATGCAGTGCCATCGTTGCCATGCATGGCCCACATTCAACTGACATTATGCATGCCAGTGCCGGCAACACGGCAGCAGTGACATAATGAGGCCACATTTTGGCCCAGTCCATTTGCTATGTGGGATAATTAGGCCACATTTGGGCCAAGTCTGTTTGCTATGTGGGATGCAGGGCCGGCCCTGTACATTTGGTGACTATAAGCTGAATAATTTTGGGCCTCCAGGAACAAGTTTGGTGATCCCTGCTCTAAATAGGGTAATATTGCCCTTGCAATTCAGCCGACAATATTTTATTGATTTTATTGCTTATTAAAGACAATCAATGAAACAGAAATTAAAGCCTGATTTCTTCTACTTAACTGTCTGAATGGTTTATACATTTTTAAACAGCTCTGTTTGTGTCAGCTAGCAGCTTGAAAATCGAAGAATTTCTGGAGTGTTTAAAACACATTCTACTAATTTAGCAAACAGATTAAAGATTCTATAATAAGATTGTAAATAAAATTTTTATTTTTTATTTTTTTTATAAATCCAAAAAGCAAAAATGACACTAAACAATAATTAAGTGAAGTTTATTTATAAACTAATTTCGAGACGAGCACATGATGATTGATAGCAGCTGGTCCTCATTAGCTAATGCATGACTCACCAATCAGACGATTCCTAAATCACTAAAAATAGAGTATCTACCCTTCAGTCACTTTCCCTGTTCCTTAATTTAATTAAGACATAACTTTTATAAACATTCATTCATTCATTTTCTTTTCAGCTTAGTCCCTTTATTAATCTGGGGTTGCCACAGCGGAATGAACCGCCAAATTATCCAGCATATGTTTTACACAGCTGATGCCCTTCCAGCTGCAACCCATCTCCTGGACAATTTAGCCTATCCAATTCAACTGTACCACATGTCTTTGGACTGTGGGAGAAAAGCGGAGAGCGGAGCACCCGGAGACACAGGGAGAACATGCAAACTCCACACAGAAACGCCATACTGACCCAGCCGAGGCTCGAACCAGCTACCTTCTTGCTGTGAGGCGACAGCACTACCTACTGCACCACCCCTTTATAAACATGTCTCAGGAAAAAATATATATTACCAATGTACAAAATATGTCAGTGAAAGACATTTAAGTACTATTGCATTTCAGTAAAATGCATTTTAGACCAAAAAACGGGTCTGTAAATCCAGGAAAAAAAAAAGATATTTTATACAAGTAGACAACGTGTACTAATTTGTATTTGCCTATTTTCGGTAAATGTGCTATTAGATTGTCATCATCATTAGCACTTAAAAGCGATGCTAAAATGATTTTGTGCTTATCTTTTGTCATTTTTCTTCTCAGTTTTTCTACGCCTGAAGAATAACGTTATTTTATTTAATTTTTGCGGTCCATTCATTCATTTTCTTTTCGTCTTAGTCCCTTTATTAATCTGGGGTCGCCACAGCTGAATGAACCACCAACTTATCCAACCCTTCCAGCTGCAACCCATCTCTGGGAAACATCCATACACACTCATTCATTATGGACAGTGTAGCCAACCCAATTCACCTGTACCACATGTCTTTGGTCTGTGGGGAAAACCGAAGCACCCGGAGGGAGAAAATGCAAATTCCACACAGAAACGCCAACTTACATAGCCAAGGCTCGAACCAGCAACCTTCTTGCTGTGAGTCGACAGCAATACCTACTGCACTGTGTGTCCCATTTTCGTGATCCAATTTCCAAAATAAATCGGGCAAATAATGGGGCAGGCAATGAAGCAAAGGCCATGGTGGCTGTGTCTGTTCATGGATTTGTGTTCTTGTGGTGACTGGTCGGTCTTGCAGGTTACCTTGGAAGAGCAAACTGGAACTGCGAGAACACAAATGCATTTGAGAAATGAGATGCTGCAAGTTTCCTGTTGATCACATGACCTTCACACAAAAACAATTTAAACTTTAATAAAACTGTGATTTTTTTTCTTTGAAGTGAAAATTTGCACCAACAACATAAATATACAGTTAAGGTCAGAATTATTAGCCCCCCTTCAAATATTTTTCTCTTTTTTAACGATTTCCCAAATTATGTTTAACAGAGCAAGGATATATTATATAGTATAGGATAGTATATCTGATAATATTTTTTTCTTCTGGAAAAAGTCTTATTTGTTTTATTTTGGCTAGAATAAAAGCAGTTTTTAATTATTTTAAACACCATTTTAAGGACAAAATTATTAGTCCCTTTAGACATTTTATTTTTCGATAGTCTACAGAACAAACAATCGTTATACAATAACTTGCCTAATTACCCTAACCTGCCTAGTTAACCTAATTAACCTAGTTAAGCCTTTAAATGTCACTTTAAGCTGTAGACGTGTCTTGAAAAATATGTAGTAAAATATTATTTACTGTCATCGTGGCAAAGATAAAATAAATCAGCTATTAGAGATAGGTTATTAAAACTATTAGGATTAGAAATGTATTGAAAAAAATATGTTAAACAGAAAACGGGGAAAAAATAAAAAGGTGGGCTAATAATTCTGACTTTAACTCTATATGCTGTAAAAAAATATATATATACATTGTGTCCTTCTGGAGTTTTACACATTAAATTAATTTAGCAAACAGATTGAAGATTCTATAATATGATTGTAGGTTGATTTATTTTTTAAAAATCCCAAAAGCAAAAATTCTAATTCTGAAACGAAAATATAAATGTTATAAAGTAAAAATGTTAATAAAGGAAAATAAATAAATAAAAGGAAGTAAATAAATAAAAGGAAAAAATGAAGTGAAAAGCACAACACAACAAATGTTTAATGAAATAATCAGAAGACAAGAACGGAAATAAAAACTGATTAAAGATGTGCTCTTTATAATTAGTCTTCTCTAGGAAATCCTCGAACAGCTTCAGAAATCTCAGGATTCGCACAGAAATGCTCTGCAAAAGTCGCCTCGTCTCTCAGACAACAGATTGCGATGGGTTTGGGTTGTTTTTTTGTGCAGACAGAACTTATATCATAACACGATCAACGAACTTCACCGATCAGAGCGCCATCTTGGATCCTCCCGCGGCCTGCGCCCCCCTCCCTCTCCCCCACCACCGATGACGAATAAAAAGAACGAATTCGATTGCCGTTACGTCACTGGACAGAATTCAGAATTTACTCAGAGTGACAAACGAACGAGTACAGTGAACATTGATTTAACGACTTTAGCGACTTGTTTTGCATCTCAAATGGCAAATAACACGTCAGCTGCGTTTTTTAATCGAGTTAATACGATCACGACTGAGTTTGTCAACGAAAATTATCAAAGTGACACGATGGCTTCTCCTTCACCTTCTACCGTGATGAGAAGCCCAACAGGTGAGATGAGAGTTTACAAAAACTGTGTATTCACACGTATTATTTAATAATACAGTAAATTATGAAGTAAAATGTAAAATAATAATAATATATCGCCATGTAAGGTTATTAGTGTAGCAAATATGCAACGTCTCTTCATTGTAATGTGTTTTTTTGTGTGTGTAGTTATGGTTTTGTATATTTTTGTGATAGAGCCCTGCTCTTATATGTAATGACATTCTGGTTTTTAAGTTTCTCCTTTCCACTCAACAGAAATTGTGCCTTGTTAATGTTTCTGATAAAAATCATTTTAATTTTACTTTAATTTAAATCCTTTGTGTAGATCTGCACAGTAATTTTCTTAGTTTTTGATGGTGTGGAGGAATATTTGTTATATTTTAGCAAACTGAGTGAGAATATTATATTTAAGTCTTTATTTGTTCAAGCAGGGATGAATTAATACAATTGAGGTAAAGTTGGTTTTATATTCTCACATTCTGACTTTCTCCTTAATAATAATATAACAGAAAAATATTTTTGCTAAATAGTTGCTTTTAGGATTTTTCCTGATGTCTAATATGGTCTTATGACTTACCGACTATTTGTCAGCTTGTGTTTGTCATTTTACATCATAGAAATAATTTGCAACTCCACATAATTAATTTTAGTTTTCAAACATTTTCTATTATAGTTATACATTTATTATTGTTGTTTCTTTTGTGTGATTGTCTTTTATATGTCTAATTTACAGCACGTTGTCTATTTTAAACCTGTGATTAAAGAGTTTTCTAATATTGCCCTGTTCATTTTCTTTATTTCAGAAAACACAGAGAAAAGGAGGAAAGGGAATAAAGCCTCTGCTTTCTTTAAGAGAGCATGGAAGGCTGTGAAGCGCCCTTTCCTTTGCTGTGACCGGAACAAAGTGGTTCCCTTCGAACCACGGTCAGACGTCGACGATTGCGAGCACCTGCCTGTTCCAGGTCCCTCCAGGACCGTCGCAGCACATGCAGACCTTGAGCCGGTGTGGCAGCCAGGCCAGGTCTGTGAAGATCTTCAGCCGTTGAGTGTTCCGGGCCCCTTCAGCATCAAGCAAACAGCAGATGTGCCGAATGCCGATCCGGCCCGTCCAGAGTCCTCGACGGCCCTCACAGGTCATGTTGATACTGAGCTGGTGTGTCTGCCAGGCCAGGTCTGGGAAGATCCTCAGCCAATCAGTGTCCATGACCTCTCCAATATTAAGAACATGACGGATGCTGATTCGGCCTGTCCTGAGTCGCCTTCGTCTGTTCAAGACCCCTCTGATATTGATGGGACTGATGGTGAGTCATCCTGAATGTGGTTCATTTTATTTCTGCCGTCTGTTATTTTTTATGCTTTGTTGTTTTTAGCTTATAAATCAGACAGTGTCATTTGATGTACTGTTGGTTGTGTATTAATACAGTGCTAAACATTTATGAGTGCACCCCCACAAATCTTTCATTTTAATTCAGATTTTCTATAAAACTTTTTCTATAGTTTAGTCAGAACTGAAGCCAAATCTGGAGCTTATCTAACAAAATAACTAAATAATGGTTCAAAGATTAGTAGCCCAAATGTATATGTTCAGGGAAAATATTAAATTGAATTTTCAAAATTAGCAAAAATCTAAGGGAAACAAAAATATTGACAATTTTGTTGAAATGTTGTAGTTTATAAATTTTGCAATATTTTGCATGATATTAATTGTATTATCTTTCCATTTCTAAAGATGTTCTGTGACTAAATTATTATTTTAATAAATAAATCTGTTTGATAAATCTGTTTTGTTCAAATGCACCAATATATATTACCCAGATTCACTGAGAAATGGATAAAAATATACATTTTCTAAAAGGGGTGGACTGCATATATGAATATGCTGAGCGCTGTAGCTGCAGCTCTGTTCATGGAGATGTTTCTGTTTGTTTTCTTCATTTTAGAAAAACCCAAGAAAGGAAGGAAAGGCAAAAGAGTCTCTGCTTTCTTCAAAAGAGTATGGAAGGCTGCAACGCGCCCTTTCCTGTGCTGTGACACAGATGTAGTCCAGCATCTTACACCACAACCTGAGCCCGAGCCTGAGCCTGAGCCTGAGCCTGAGCCTGAGCCTGAGCCTGAGCCTGAGCCTGAGCCTGACCCTGAACCTGAACCTGAGCCTGAACCTGAACCTGAGCACGAGCCCGAGCCCGAGCCCGAGTCCGAGTCCGAGTCCGAGTCCGAGTCTGAGTCTGAGTCTGAGTCCGAGTCAGAGTCAGTTCTTGAAGAGCCTAAAGAGGCTTCTGGGCTCACTCTTGGTAAGTGATTATTTCCGTTTATTATTATAAATTAGTAATCAGTTTACTCCTGCAATTCTGATGGAAGTTTCTGCTTTCAGCTCATTGCATTAGATCCAGATTTAAAGAATTCGAGTCATTTATTTGATCTGTTTCAAACCAGACAATCCAAGTAAATCTCCCTGCTGTTTTTCTGTGTTTCAGGATCTAGGGTGGGTCTTTTTGAAGTGAAAGACCTGATTGGAGAAGGAAGTTTTGGCAAGGTGTATCTGGGATCTCACGTATTTAATGAGAGAACAAAGGTAGAGAACTATTTTTCAAATACAGTCAACATTTTCCTCCTGATTACTCAATATAAATCATTTGTCGGCTTTCATTTCATTTGTTGTTGTTTTTCCGCAGGTTGCCCTGAAGTACATCAAGAAGCGTAAACAGGACCGTTATCTCGACGTTGTAAGTTGAACAGTTTACACAAAAGTAAAAATGTGCTGATCATTTGCTCATCCTTCACTTGTCCTGTACCTGTCTGGACCACTTTAAACTGAACTCAAAAGCTGATATGTTGGAAACAGGGAGTCACTGACTTCCATTGTAGAAAAAGAAAATACTTATAAAGTCACTGCTTACTGGTTTATCAACATTCTTCAAAATATCTTCTTTTGTGTTCAGTGGAAGAAATAAACCCAGAGACTAGTTTTGAACACATACTTGTAGGGCTGTGGAGTTAATTAATATTCATTTAACATTAATGCAGATAAAAATGATCATTGCGTCATACACACAGACAGAACACACACATGTAGAGTCCTCTTTTAGCTTAAACTGCATGACTAAATGCTCAAATACAAGCAAACATGTGTCCAAACAGGAGCTTATTGATTATTTACTTCATGAAGTTTTTGTTTCTGTACTTTGTGCCATTCTGCTTTGGTAATATCTTTGAAATCTGTTTTTTTTTTCTAGGATGGCCATTCCAAACCTGTGCTTGCAGAAGTGGCAATCATGCTTAAGTTGATGAAGGACCCACCTTGTCCCAGCATCATCACATTACACCACTGGATTAAGAATAAGAACGACTTCGTTCTCTTTCTGGAGTACGCCGAGTCATCCCAGAACTTGGCTTATTACCTCAGAAGTTCATTGGACATTGATGAAAACCACGCACGCCGGTTAATGCATCAGTTGATCCAAGCTGTCAAGTTCTGCGCTGAGCGTGGAGTTTTCCATGGAGATATCCACTCGGGGAACATCCTGGTGACTCAACCCCAATCAGAGCTCAAACTGATTGACTTTGGTTGTGCTCGGCTAATCACCAGCGAGCCTTTCAACAGCAGTGACTATCGAGGTGAGTGGGCATTTTGTGGGAGTTTCTTTAGTTTCTTTCACAGTATTGTCTTATGAAATGACTGAATTCTGAAAATGTCTCTCTTACAGGAGCCTTACTTTACACGCCGCCTGAGGTTCTGAGGGATCCCACATTCTTTCCTAACCCGGCATACGTCTGGACATTAGGCCTCATCCTGTATGAAATATTACATACACGATTGGCCTTTTACGACACGCATTCGATAATCATTGGAGACCTCCAGACAGACCTCACCTTATCTTTAGGTAAGCAGACTCTTCTGAACAATCTCAGCCTCAGTGACAGAATAAAATATGTCAGTCACGAATAGAAAAGGGTTCAATATAATGGTTACTGTAGATATTAAAGTCCTTTCATTGTGAATGTTTTGTTATTTGATGTAGTAAGATTTAAACACGTTCATGAATCTCGATTATGCAGACATATTTCACACTCTCTCTGTCACTTTTCAGATTGCCTGGACCTGATTTCCCAATGTTTGGTCCGCAATCCAGAGAAGCGACTGCAGTTACATCAGTTAGAAGAGCACCGGTGGTTCAATCCAACGAGCCCAAATCCTGTGCAGCAGTGAGACAAGAGGAGGTAGAGGAACACACCGAGCACAAAACTACATCTTCAGTCTTTCTTTGCTTCATGCTATTCCTGTTCTTTTCTCTTCTGCTCTTTTTAGAGTCACAAGTCTTATTTGACAGCCCTTCATATCACTGCTTAAATAACTTTGTGTTGTTTTTCTTCATTTTAGAAAACACTAAAGAAGCGAAGAGGAGAACAGCAGCATTTCCAGAAATTTCACAAGACTGTTAAAGTTATTAATTACTCCCTCATGTCATTCCAAACCCCTCAGACCTTACTTTTCAGTGTCAGTGTGTTGATGAGAGCTTTGTCCTGCACTGTATGTGTGTCCACTGCTGATGTTTACCTCAGATGTGCTCACGCTTTGCTTAAATGAGAGGAAGTCGCGCAGGCCTCTGGGTTAGTGACAATTAAACCACACTGAACTTAACTGAACTAAACTTTAACTCCAGTGCTGTCACAGTTTTCTCCTCTAAAGTGTCATCAAAGATCTGCTCAACTATTTTCTACCTCATTAATGAATCTGGTGTTCTGTCATAAGAGAGACTGATTGTTTTATAATTAATTGTTCATGATTGTTTTGTAATGAATTGTTTTTTTAATTGTTTTGTGCTGAACTGCTTTTATGTATTGTTGGCTAATACGTCAAATAAAATCCTGTGAATCAAACTGAAGCTCTGATCATCATTTCTGTGAGTTTTCTAAATGACTCCTTACTCAATTAAAGAGAGAGTTCTCCCTCAACTATTTACTCACGTGTTTCTAAACCTATGAGGTTCTTTCCTCTGTTGAACACTGAAGAAGATACATATCTGAAAATCTGTAACCATTGATGTCCACAGTAGGAAAACAAATACAATGGATGTCAATAGTTACAGGTTTCGAGCATTTTTCAAAACATCTTCTTTTGTGTATAACAGAAGAAACTCATAGTAAGGGCTGAGTAAAAGATGACAGAATATTCATTATAGGGTAAAGCAATCTCTTTAACAAACCAGTAGTGCCATATACTGTGTTTACTATGATTTACTATGAGTCTGTTTAGCCAAATGGAAGCACAGGGAAGGTTTTACTGTTAGACAATATGTTGTTTTATATTACCGTATCATATACTAACACAACAAATAGTGTACTGGGCTGATCTTTTATTTAAACAGCAGAGTTTCAGACTGGACATTGTTAAACTGTAGTCTTAATTGACTAACAGTACACTGAGCAAAATAAAATCTCTGAAAATAGAAGTATAAATGTGTGCGATTGGACTCCAGTGTGCGATTGCAGCTTTTCTTTATCATGGTTAAAATGGTGAGTGAACATCACACAAGTGAACATTGTCAGATCTGTTGTTCATATATATTTGCCTCCTGGTACAGTCAAGATTGCAGACCAACTTTAGAGACTCCAAATTGTTCAAACTTTGACAATCCCAGTTTAAAGAACAGTTTAGACTTGAGGGTTGGAATTGAGAACCACTGTATAAATACTTGTTAGATGCCTTAGGACTAGGGTGTCAAACTCAGTTCCAAAAGGGCCGAAGCACTGCACAGTTTAGTTCCAACCCTGCTCCAACACACTTACCTGTAGGTTTCAAACAAGCCTGAAGGACTCAATTAGTTTGATCAGGTGTGTTTAATTAGGGTTGGAACTAAACTGTGCAGAGCTGCGGCCCTTTTGGAACTGAGTTTGACACCTGTGCCTTAGGAGGCCCTTGTTAGGTTCAGTGAACAGTATTGTGTTTTTGTCAGTGCGAATATTTTAATATTTTGTTAGTGTACTTTTAAAATCTAAAGCACATTCGTCCACAATAAACAACCTTTAATGAAATTAGAAGTTTCCAATGATGTTTAATAAGATTAAACAATATAATACTACACTGTGTAACACTAGAAAAAGAAAAACTACAAAAAACAATAAATAATTTGAATGTTTTATATGTTTATTTACTCTTTTTTTACTTCTTGCAACTGTTTATACCTGTGATTTTAATATACTTTCTCTCATTTCTATTTTATTTTTTCAAAAAGAGATGTGAAATGTACATATTTGTACTACGTTTGTACATATTTCATTACTATTTCATAATCAATGGGGAAAATGTCCAGCCTGAGCACCCGTCTGAGAACTTGGTCCTAATTTTTGTCGCTTGATCAACCCCGGTATTTTACTATGCTGCATGCCTGATATACTGAATATGCCTCACACATCGACACATTCTTTGTATCTTTTTCCTGTTTATCCTTAAAGGGTGACAGAAGTAAATGCTTGACTTAAGTACATGGGCGTGGTAGTGGGGGGAAAAGTGGACCTGACTACCCAGGGCCCCGTCTAGGGAGAGGGCCCTTTGAAATCCCACCAATTTTTTATTATTATTATTTTTTGTAGCCTACTTCGAATTAATTGGCCCCTCCAATTGATGTCAATGTCATTATATATTTCAAAATATATATGTATGATGTCAGTTTTACACACATTCTGAATCGCAAACATCTTAAAGATGTCTAATAGAAGTCTATTTCACATCTGATAGGAAACGTCTTGTAGATGTCCTCCAGATGTGAATGCAGACGTCAAAAAGACATCTCCGAGATGTACGTGTGCTAATCAAAATCGGCTATTAAGAATCAAGATTGGCGCATAATTAAAAAGAAAATGGGTGCTCCTAAATTTTTTTAGATGCTCCTAACTTTTTGAAGTTCAGAGCACCAGTCCTACCAAGTAAAAAAGTTAAATTCGAGCCCTGTAATGTATTTATGCTAATGTTAAATCTTTAGCTTAATTTGTCAACCAGGCTGCTTGTTGCTGTAAGTAAATTATGTGCCAGGCCAGCTAACGTCAGGCTGCCAACATTAACCAGTTTCAGAAACAACCAGTGGTTCCGACACACCAGCAGTAGCAGCACTCAATGGTGGTGAATGACAGAACCAGTCATTAATCTGATTTGATTATAGATTAAAACACTATTTGTGTATGTTTATATTCAAATAATTTAAAAAAATGTGTAGGGGGCCCACTGACATTGAGAGGGTACAGGGCCCAGAATTTGGTGCTACGCCCCTGGTTACAATAGTGTTGTTTTCAGACCATAGTTTCTGTCGTTTTTGTTTTTATTGTATCTGTTCTGTACTGGTTCTAAAAGGAGCTGGAAGCACAAATGGTCACAGCCATCATACACATTTGACTAAACATTTTTCATAGGGAAACACAGCAGACGTGGTATGTGTAAAACTGGATCACATGCATATAGTGCAACATGCACCATGTGGAAATTTTGACAGGCATTTGGAAAACCACAGAAATAACTTTGGGAGTGCAGATTCTGTTTGTGTGGGTTTGGTAATAATTACGAATGATTTCACCTTCTGTTTCTCATCATTTAGTTTATAACTTCAAGAATATTTTTTTAGAGTTCGCAAAATATTTTCTATTATTATATTGTGAACGTTGCTTATGTCTTGACCATACCACAGAAAAGATTATTTATTCTTAATATGCATGCATGTTTTATAAAAATAATTGTATTTATTGATTTAAGCTTATTTGTCTGAAGTTGTTTACCTTATTTATTGTCAGTCAGTAGTTTAGACAGATTTTGACAGCCAAACTTATTGATTTAAAATCACTTATTTTGTTCTCTGAGTAGCAGCACTGCAGCAGACACTTACGCAAATAAACTTAAGCAACTTGAACCAATAGTTTACCCATTAACCTGCTGTTTATTTACTCACCCACAGGCAATCCAACATGTTTACTGTATCAGTAGGAATATTTTAAACCAGATTTAAGTAATCCCTAAATGCAAGTCAAAAGCTGGCACTTTGAGAGTCTAACAAATTATTAAACAAAATTAAAACTTGCAGCTCCTGATGATACGCTGAGGTCTTATGAAGTGAGTAAACATTATTTACTTTTCACCTATGGAGTGAGAATTGTTTTGTAATTCCAAATAAATGTAATATAATACACAAATAAATGTGAAACTATTGAAAAATGTTGGAATATTTAACCAATTCCATGCGAGTTCAATAAAAAAGGTCAGGAAAGGGTTGTCTTCAATGTCAAGATTTTAGTAATTTATTAGGTACAAATTAATATTTTGATTAACAGAATTCTTTGTAACCTCGTTCCAATGCAATAATTACATTCAGGAGGTGCGCAACAACTCTACATTTCTTGACTCAAGAATAAATACACAGCTGATATTAACGAGTGGAGTTAGGTGGAATTTGTCACTTATCACTCATTTTGTAGTCCTTCAGTGGCCGCACCCATACATACTTCCTCTTCTTCTAATATGCTTCTTGCAAGGCTTATCACACTCAGAGAAGTTTGGTTAATATAGAACCTTAAGCAATACAAATACAATTGTTTTATAAATATTAAAAGAGACAAAAATCATTTGTTCCTAACACAAATATCAAGCATATTGAGATACATACAATGAGATCCACATATAAGTCTTATAATTCCACAAACATTAATTAGATTGTCAAGTAAGTAAAATTAGACACACAATTTTGGCTGACGTTTTTATGTGAATTGCGTCCTGTGCATTTGTAGATTAGTGTGCATTTGTAGATCGCTGTGGGTATTTGCGGATTAGTGTTCGTCTTGACATTAGAAATGTTTTAAAATCCACAAGTACACAGAGAGCTACCCACAAATACCCACAGCGATCTACAAATACCAGTCTACAAATGCACAGAGAGCTACCCACAAATGCTGCCTAATCTACAATTGCACATGATGCAATTCAGTTATAAATGTGAGGCAAAATTGTGTTTGTAAAATAAAATAAATATTTACTGTTGAAGTCAGATTTATTAGCAACCCTGAATTATTAGCCCCATTCTCCCCCCCCCCAATTTCTGTTTAACAGAGAGAATTTTTTAGTTTTATTTACTCATCTCTAATAACTGATTTATTTTATCTTTGCCATGATGACAGTAAATAATATTTGACTAGATATTTTTCAAGACACTTCTATACAGCTTAAAGTGACATTTAAAGGCTTAACTAGGTTAATTAGGGTAACTAGGCAGGTTAGGGTAAATAGGCAAGTTATTGTATAATGATGGTTTGTTCTGTAGACTATCGAAAGAAAATTTAGCTTAAAGGGGCTAATAATTTTGTCCTTAAAATGGTGTTTAAAAAAAAATAAAACTGCTTTTATTTTTACCGAAATAAAACAAATAAGACTTTCTCCAGAGGAAAAAATAATATCAGACATATTGTGAAAATATCTTTGCTCTGTTGAACATTATTTGGAAAATATTTAAAAGAAAAAAAAATTAAAAGGGGGCTACTAATTCAAACTTTGACTGTTTATGTTTTTATTTGCAAGTATAATTTTACTTACTTGTGAATATAATTAATGTTTGTGGCACTCTTATATTATTTTGAACTTTTCTTCACTTCTGGTCACATGGAAGACCTTTTGGGAGGGGCTATCTGCTTTCTGCACTGCTTTCATTCATTCATCTATCTTCTTTCATTTGTTAGCAACACCCATCTTCCAACAATCCAATCCCTTCCCAAAGGGCAAAATTATGCTCTGTCCTACTTTATTTTTAAATTTCAAGTGAATGTAAGTCACATTATTGAAAAAAAAAATCCAATCTTAACTTTGGTTTCATGGCAACTTTAACCCACAGCCTCAGCAAACACTCCTGAGCCAGTTCACAACAGTTTGCAGCATGAGCTTCCTTAATGACATAAACACACATACAAACAAACAAAACATGTTAAAGATTTGATTAGATTTGAATCAACAGCAAATTAACTTTTTTGTGTGAACTGTCCCTTTAAGTAGGCTATGATCTTGCTATTAGGCTGCTAAGCAAAACAGTGCCTTATACTGGAAAGACTTGAAAGATGAGTTCTAAGTAAATAGATTATACACCCCTCTACTCCATTAGTTTTGCATGTGTGTTGTGTTCCTCTCTACTGCAGGGTGTGGAAAGCCCAACACTCCATACATTTGTAAGCTAAGCTCCTCCCGCACCCACAAATAGCAAAGCAGTGGGAGTGACTTCAGGCTCTCTGGGTATAATAACACCAGCGGAAAAGACTTCTGCTGGCGAAAAGACAGAGAAGCAGAGCAGAATTGTGGAAGTGAAACCCAACACGTTTCTAATGAGGTAAAAAGGTTTGCTTTTCTGTGTATTAAGCTTTGTATGTGGTTTTGTCACAGTCCGGTAGACTGTTGTGGTTTTCTCAAAGCTTTTCTCTTTTGTTGTAGCAACCAGCAAACAGTTGTTTCATATAGACATAAAAAGTGTGGTAAAAACAAACCTTTTGTTAACTAAGCATCTAACCCTCAACGACCATGTTTCAACATGTTTTCTACAATCTGGATTACTTCCAATTGCAGTTTATGCTATTTTGCTTTACAAAAGGTCACTTAGAACAGCATAGAACAGACACTACCTGATCTGTCACACAGTCTGTTATTAGTGTTAACTGACACTTTCTAATAACATGTCTCAACTGAAAAGTAATGTCAGCTTTCACCAGAAGCTTATTTATTTATTCAGTCTTTCAATGAAAAACTTTAATACTTTCTTGAGACTCCAAAATGGTCTCCAACCTGTTGTTCATTTGTGTTTTATTACAGTCTAAATCTTAGATGCTTTTGGTCAGAGAAAAGGGGAAATAAGTTTATATTTGACAAAAGAAAATCTCAAAACCTCTTTCCTAAATGTTCTTAAAAATCCCACAAACCACAGTCATATGATATTCATGTATTGTTCACTAGTTTCAGGATCTTCTTTTCTGCAATTTCTGTAGCAATACAAACAGTTGAATGAATGACTGTATTTGCATACTTCAGTTTTTCACTGTCCTACTGCTACTTTATTCTGAGATGATTTTACAGAAGTGTTATAATGTTTGGAAACTGAATGATTGCTAATGCCTATCAAGTTAAAGTTATTACATTTTTTATTTCATTTAGTTTGATTTAAAAATACAATACTAGCTGCAATATTGGCAAAAAGCAATACATATATCTGTTTTAATGTTTTTAAAATGTTTATTTAAATGTTGGTAAGCTTTAATAACTCCAGTTTTCAGTATTACACAAACTTTCACAAATAAATTTAATATGCTGATGTGTTGTGCAAAAAGAAACTTTTTGCATTATTATTATTATTTATGTAAACAAACATGTAAAATTTTGTGTAGATCGGGCAATAGATTGCTCTATAATGGTAGAAAACGTTTCAAAAACACATTGTTTTAATGTTTGTTGATGCTCAATATGATGTTTCAGTTACCATTTTAGCCACTAGATGGATAAACTTGAATGCATGCAGTGTATTTGCACAAAGAAGAATGACATACTATAAAAATGGCTGCCATTAGCCAATTAAATTTGAGCACCCATTAAACACAGTTAATTATGGCCGATCAGAATGTAACTCGGTGGGCATGTTGGGCCCATGGCCCACAAGGCCTGTTGAAATTTCAAAAGAAATCATCCACTAGGGGGAATTTTTGAGTTTTTGGAGTGTTTAATGAACAATTTGTTAACTCAATCTAAAGACTCTAACGCTCTAATTATATATTTAATTGTCGGATAAACTACTTACAAGCTTCCTAACTGATAAATAACCTTACGCTGCTAAAACGCTTGAACCTTGTTAATTGCTGCTTGCAGCTATATTTATTAATATAATTATTAGTATTGTTGTCATTATCATCAGCACTGATAATAATAAGCACAACAGTTAATACATTTTTTGTTTTTACAGAACCTATTATTCATTTTGTATAGGACTCAAAAATTTGAAAAGAACAGCTTTTATTAGAAATAGAAATTTTGTGGCATTATTCCATCTTTTAATATATTTTTTCCTGTCCCTGTGCTAAAAAAAGTATTCTTTTTTTAATGTATGTATGTATGTATGCATCATAATGTACAAACAAATATTTTCAGCAGTGAAAGTTAAACCACACTGAACTGAACTAAACTGAACTTCAACTCTAAAAACTGGACTGACAGTTTCAATTTACTTGAACTTCTATGTTAAGATGGTTTGACCAAATTTACATAGTAAAAGCTCTATAGAAATAAAGATTAATTGAATTGAGCGAATCACAATCAAAAAAAATCTTTCCTGGATACCAAAATCAGTATCTTAAAAAAAGAATGTTCTGTTTCCAAACGTTTGAAGGGTACAGTGTCTTCCTCACTGGTCAGTTGTTACTGTGTCAAGGTAAAGTATTTGAATGTTGTTCTTCTGTATGACCATAGACGCTTTAACTGCAGTAGCCTTTCTCTTGATCTGCAGGATGACCATCAGACGGATTCTCCTCAGCATCTTCCTTCTCTCTGGTCTTTTGACCTGCTATGGCTTCAGAATTTGTGCTTTTAACGTCCAGAGCTTTGGCGATTCAAAATCAGCCGATGCCAAAATCATGAACTCTATATCACGGGTAAGAGGATGAGTGTGAATGAATGCTTTTTAATGTTTTGGTAATATAAAAAGCACCAGATAAATGATGTTTTGCTTTTACCTTGCAGATTGTAGCTCGCTGTGACATTTGTTTGCTCCAGGAGGTCAGAGATCAGAAAAATAAAGCCATCCCACGACTACTTGAGGCAGTCAACAAGTAGATTATATTAAATTACTGAAAAAAAAAAATGCTTCTGAAATAATCAATCAGACTGAGAGATGAACGAATTTACCATGTTTAAATGCTCAAATGTTATATTTTGGTTTCAGAATTGGTGAAAATGATTTTCAGTATGTGGCAAGTGAACGCCTTGGAAGAACACAGACCTATCAGGAGCAATACGTGTTTTTTTACAGGTAAAGCATGTGTTATGTACTATCCCAGGTAGCAAATAATTCTGGCCCAGATTTGACATGAAGCAGGCATTCATCCAGCACTGGCATACAGCATGTGGGCCAAACATGGCCCGGGTTTGGCAGAGGTGGCACTGTCTTTAAGGCAGCACACAAGACAAGGGTCAGATGTCAAATGTTATATTTGGTCCAGATGTTAATAATTGTTATGTTGGCCATGTAAGTTTGGCCTCTCTTGACCCACATTTAAAAACATTTAAATTGTAAAAATTTTGAATAAAAAAAAAACATGGGTTTATCAATTTCATTGCAGTCGTGATACACCAACATATCTGGCCCAGCTTAGGCCCAGTTATGGGTTATTAACTTGGCTGAGACTTGGCCCAGATATGGTCCATGTTCAGCCTTTGTCTGGAAGCCTAACTTAGTCCAGTCATGTACCATAATTCAATGCGGCATATGGGCCGAGCAACAGCTGATTGTGTGGGCTAGAGCTGGGCCAGAGAAATTTCAACGCAATCTCACGGCAATCCGTAACTTTTTGAGTTAGTGGCTAATTCGTTTGAATTCGTACAATCTAATTCCTACAATTTAGTACGATTTGCTCATCACCCAATGACGGTTGGGGTTAGGGGTGGGGTTGGGTACCACGCCTCCTTTTTAATATCGTACATTTTCGTACGACTGAACTTGTACGAGTTTGTATGAATTCGCCACTAAACTGACAAAACATAAAATACTTACGTTTCCTTGTGAGATCAGGCTGGAAATGTTGCTATGTGGCATATGTACTATAGTTTTTATCAGAGAAGCCTTGATTTATTAGTGATGATAGATACTGAATTGAATCGTAATGCTCATATTTTCCCTTATTTTACTTTTACATTAGATTTTCTTACATCTAGCACTCCCTTAAAATGCTGTTAAATTTAATCTGTAGCAAAATGAATATAGGTCAAAGATTTCATTGTCTGCACTATATCAGGGCAAATTTAAAATGTTTTATAATGTGCTTAAATGCATAAAGGACATTGTAAGAAACAATTAAGATGACGTAAAAGATCTCAGTTAAGATGTTAATTCAGCAAAGCAGTCTCAAAGTAAACTGCAATACACCAGGTTTTGCAGAGTCAGAATGAACATTCTTAAACTTAATCCTTTTATGCGGTTTTAGTTTACTGCCTTTAAATGTAAATGAAATTGCTCCTTGACAATTGTCAGAGCTGTGTTTTGTGTGTTATATACGTTTCGACATCTTTTTGTCTGAGATGGTTCTTCACCCATCCCCATTCTACTATTGTCACCATTACAAGGTGTGATCATCTTAAATAGTGCAGAGACAACAAAGCTGTTGAATGCTCTTTTATAACAGTTTAGCCCCTTTGAAAAATGAGCATCAACATACATTTTAGAGTTGAAGTTGGGTTGAGGCAGACCAATTTCTAACATTAAATGCTAGAAAGGTGTATTCTTTAATGTCAAAATATGAATTAAATCATTTTCAATTGTCATTCAGTGTAAAACGACATTTATGTCACCTGACACAACATAGTCTGACCTTTTCATATATAGAACTGTCGTGAGAAAATGTAATTTTTATTTAATACTAAACTGTTAAAGACATCTTGCCATAAATGGATAAACCCTGCTGCACTGTGATTTTAGTCACTAAAATGAATGAGTGCTTTATATTTAATTTATTTAGAGAAAATTGCATAGAATTTTAATAACGGTCATTTATTAGTAATGTAATATAACATGAAAACAACTATAGGCTTATCAATATTAGTGCATCCATAGTTAATGAGGGTGTTAAAATTAAATGTGATGTAATAAGATGTGATCAGATATAATGCATAACACAGTCATTACAATCACAATCATACATACAGCTAAAGAAAAAAGTATTAGCCTTCCTGTGAATTCTTTTTCAAGATCAAGGGCTGTTTAACAGAACAAGGACATTTTGTGCAGTATTTCATAAATTTTCCTTCTAGAAAAAGTATTATTTTGTTTAGTTTGGCTGGAATAAAAAATATATATTTTAAAAAGTACAGAAAGACAAGGTCAATATCTTTTTTGCTTCCTAAAGATTTTTTTTTGTTTTATTAGCTACAAAAAACACTTTTGTCAGTGACTTTCTTAGTTAGCATATTTAACCTAGTCAGTCCTAGCATTTTAAGCTGAATAATAGTATCTTGCAAAATAACTAGTAAAATACTATGTAGACTGTAAAATTATTAGTTACATAAAGCGAGTAAACCAATTGCCTTAAGTGCAACAAGTTGACTTTATTAAAAAAAGATGTAAATAAACCCATTGTAACTTGGAACTATTCAATTGACTTATTTTGTATAATTATGCAAATTTTACTCATTTTTTAAAATAAAGTCACCTTATTGCTATTTACAGTGTATTGTCATCTTGGACAAAGAAAATTGTGTTTAAAAATGTCACTAAAATCTTCTCAGTTCAACAGCATTTATTGATATATGAAATATTTGGAAAAATAATTCACATTTCTAAGAAATACTTATAATGTTGCCTTCACCTGTATTGTTGATCATCATTACTTAATGTCACAACATATTTTTTTTTCATTTCCTCTTTTTTATTCCTCATTTCCTAATTTTTTTCTATTGTTCTAACCAACAGGAAAAGCACCGCAATACTGAAAGGCCAGTATCAGTATCCAGATACCCAGACAGGAGATGTAGATGCTTTCTCCAGAGAACCCTTTGTGGTGTATTTCCAAGCCCCTAAAACATGTAAAACAACAAAACACTCTTAATTTATTCCAAAACAAATGATGGTTTATGCTGAATTTTGAAATATTGCAGATTTTTTTCTCACTTTTAATGTCTCTGTTAAAAGTGGCTAAAGAGTTCGTCCTGATCCCACAACACACCACTCCTTCAAATGCTACCAAAGAGATCGATGAACTCTATGACGTCTTTGTGGATGTTAAAGGGCGCTGGGAAACTGAGGTGCGATTGATTTTATTCATAATAAATGCAGTGTAATATTGTGAGCTCCAGTTTTAAACCTTGCTTTATCACTTCACCAGAATGTGATGTTCCTTGGGGACTTCAATGCAGCTTGTGGTTATGTGGCTAAGAAGAACCGTAAGAACATCAGACTCTATACTGACCCCTCCTTCACCTGGCTGATTCAGGATAACGTGGACACCACAGTCAAAGAGTCCACTGACTGTGCCTATGACAGGTGTGTGTGTGTGTGTGTGTGTGTGTGTGTGTGCGCGTGTGTGTGTGTGTGTTAAATCAGCATAATACTACAATGTTGTTAGTAATTTACATACACAGTGCAGAAATAGCTCTTCACAACAAGAATAATATGTGACTTGTGGCAGTGGTCACCAAACTTGGTCCTGGAGTGCCGGTGTTCTGCCGAGTTTCAGTATAACCAGTAAGACCTTGATTAGCTTGTTCAGATGTGTTTGATTAGGGTTGGAGTTAAACTTTGCAGGACACCTTCATTAATCTGCAGAACACAAATGAAGATTTTTAGATGAAATCTGTGAGCTCTCTCATCCTCCTTAGACAGCAAGGGCCCAGAGACATTAAAAGTCCAGTAAAGGAACCAAAAAAATTGTCAAAATATTCCATGTGACTCAATTGTAATCATATGAAGCTCAAAGAACAGTTTTATGCACCAACAAACTGTAAAAATGCCCATACTCTTTTCTTTTGGGTCAGGTCAGGGTGTGCATCTACAACTGCCGACACTTTAAAAAATGCAGGGTTCCACACAATTCATTCATGCTGTCCCAACACAAATCGATTAAGTTAACTTGACAAATTTAAGTGGATTGAACATAAAACAATTACGTTGCCCAAAAAATCATAAGAATTGCATAGTTTTAGCTTATTTTAATTAAGTAGTTTGAACAAGCAGAAAAATCATTATTTGGGTCTTCCCCGGGGCCTCCTCCTGGTGGGACATGCCTGGAACACCTCTCTAGGTAGGCTTCCAGAAGGCATCTGAAACAGATGCCTGAGCCACCTCAGCTGACTTCTCTCAATGTGGAGGAACAGCAGCTCTACTCCGAGCTCCTCACTCACAGAGGTGACAGAGCTCCTCACCCTATATAAGGTGTGCCCTGCCACCCTGCGAAAGAAACTCATTTTGGCCGCTTCTATCCGAGATCTTGTTCTTTCGGTCATGGCCCAAAGCTCATGACCATAGGTGAGAGTAGAAACATAGATTGACTGGTAAATCAAGAGCTTTGCCTTTCGGCTCAGCTCCTTCTTCACCACAACGGACCAATACAATAACCACATTACTGCTCCCGCTGCACTGAGCCGCCTGGCAATCTAACGTTCCATCCCTCTCTCACTCATGAACAAAACCTCAAGATACTTGAACTCCTCCATCTGAGGTAAGGACTTTCCTCCAACCTGGAGATGGCAAACCAACTTTTTCCGGTGGAGCACCATGGCCTCGGACTTGGAGGTGCTGAATCTCATCCCAGCCGCATCACACTCAACAGCAAACTGGCCCAGTGTATGAAGGTCCATGTTTGGACCACATTGTTCAACATTGTTCGCGAATAACAGAGATGAAATCCTGTGATCCCCGAACCGGACCCTCTCCAGCCCAAGGCTGTGCTTTAAAATTTTGTCCAATAAAATTATGAACAGAATTACTGACAAAGGGCATAATAAAATTCCCTGTCATAAATATTTAAATGTATAATTTTTTGATTATTAATATGCATGGCTAAGAACTTAAATTGGGCAAAACTTTAAAGGCAGTTTTTCTCAATATTTTCATATGTTTTCATCTTAACCCTCAGATTCCATTTTTTAAATAGTCGTATCATGGGCAAATATTGTCACATACTAAGAAACCAAAAATCAATTGTAAGCTTATTGACAAGCTAGTTTATATTCAACTTCAATTCAAAAACTGACCCTAATATTGATTTTGATTATACATTGATAAAGATGTCCTTTTAAAAGGTAAAACAATAACAAGTGTAACAATAATGGCACACAGGCGCAATTTGATTGGGGCAATTTTACAACCTTGTTTCCCAGCCGATGAATGATGAGGGAGGCGACGCAGTGGGTAGCACGTTCGCCTCACAGCAAGAAGGTTGCTGGGTCGCTGGTTCGATCCTCGGCTCAGTTGGCTTTTCTGTGTGGAGTTTGCATGTTCTCCCTGCGTTCGCGTGGGTTTCCTCCGGGTACTCCGGTTTCCCCCACAGTCCAAAGACATTCGGTACAGGTGAATTGGGTAGTCTAAATTGTCTGTAGTGTGTGTGTATGTGTGGATGTTTCCCAGAGATGGATTGCGGCTGGAAGGGCATGCGCTGCGTAAAAACTTGCTGGATAAGTTGGCGGTTCATTCCGCTGCAGTGACCCCATTTTAATAAAGCGACTAAGCCGACAAGAAAATGAATGAATGAATGATGTGATGATGCTCTTGATTCTTCTGTTCTGCCATTGGTTAAAATACTAAAAGTGAGTTATATCTTACAGCTAAGTTTAAATTAAACAATTCAGACATTTTCTAAGAACTGTGACTTTCGTCACAGTTGTGATATATATTTCACAATTTAGGTAAAAATCTGACTTTATCTTCTGTTTCTGCTTATAGCTCACAATACTTGGTTTTGGTTACGCTTTATTTTAAGGTGTCCTTGTTAAAGTGCAACAATTTATTTAACTACTGAGTAATAAGTATTTTATTATATGTACTTACCATGTGATGCGTGTTTAGGGAAAGAATGTATGTTAGTATAAGGATAAGCTGCATGTAATTATGCATAATTGTAATTACTCCATAAAGTTAACCTCCACTCCACAGCTGCCCTGTCCTGACCTATTCATGCATCTCTAAGGACCGAGCTGTCCCGGGAGAAGCTTGCTAATATACAGAATTGGACTCAAGGCCTTCTGGGCGTTCAAAGCATTTGCAGACCTGGACAGATTTGTCCAGCCCATCACCCCCTTGTGCTGGAAAAGGGATTCATTCTCCCTATGAGCTATCAACCAAGGCTGAACCTGGACGGGGGCGTCCCGCGAGTCACTTTTAACACTCAAGGCAGGGATAGTTTGTCCCAATTGGAACGTAGCCAAGGCAGAACCTGGACGAGGGCATCCCACGTGACACTTTTAACACACAAGTTAGGGCTAATCTGTCCCAATCGGAACGTAGCCAAGGCAGGACCTGGACGCAGCAGGCATACAGCGTTGAACTAAGAAGACAGGGCTCATTTTTGTCCCCACTGAATTTACTTTTACCACACAGATAATAAATAAAAGGAATAATGAAGACACTGAACACCATTTGACCGTTAAGTTGTACAATATTTATTCAGGACGATTCAGAGTCTTCTGTTTGTTCGAGCGGGCGAGCGCCCTGGCTTTTCCCTTTGGCAGGGCGCCATGGCAGCGTCCTCCTGCTGGTTCCCTCCTGGAAAAGAGACACATAAAGGGAAGTTAGCCAATGCCATACGTTCTGCTGTCCACGCCAAAGAGAATGTGATTTTTACCAGGGGAGAGACGGAAGTCTCTGTCCTCTTGCGCCCTTTCCGCGGGGGGCTTTCAGTGCCCGCTGCCTCCCCATCCTCCTCCTCCTCCTCCTCCTCCACCAGGGCCCTTTCAAAGAGTCTGCGGCGCTCGCGTGCTTGGAGAGGTCCGAGGTGAAGTGCGTAGAACTTATCTGAGGTTGAAGTGTCATGGCACATGAATTGCGCCACCTTGCGGCGATCCTCTGAAGAGTGTGCATTCTTTGCCTGCGTCGGAGAGAGACAGAAGCTTGATTAGGATAGAAGCCGCCGCTGGTAGTTACAGGGGCGTCACAATGCCTACTCACATGAGTCGCGATCGCAGTGCGTACGTCAGTAAAGGTGGGTTTGCCTGGAAGGCCCATACTGAGCCAAGCAGACTGAAAGTACTTGTTCAGGGTCCGACAAGGACTGGCTCTGGAAGTGAAAAAGAAATAGGTAGCCTGGCTCCCTCCGGGGAGACCAGCCCGCAGCGCCAAAAACCTGCGGAACCAGCTGTATTCCTCCCTGTTTAGGGACAGCTGAGCCGCCCCAAAGGCTCTGTTTGTTTTGTGAGTGGTAATCTGACATCAGAGAACAAGCAGTGAGTGAGTGAGTGAGTGAGTGAGAGAGCATGCTACTGGTGACCCCCACCTTACTTGCGCCATACTCACGTTAATGACATAAGCAGACTCGTCGGGGCTTCTGGAGGCCTCTTCAACCTCCTGGATTGTGAGATTCTGGAAGACTCCACAGCGGTGCCCAGAGATGGAGGTTAGGTAGCCAGTCAGAAAGCCATAGAAGCGCCACTGTTGCCTAGTGCTTGGGTTGGATTCGAGGCTATCTGGTGAAGGACATTAGACAGATTAGACCACCGACGGTTCTATTTCCTTTCTGGGTCACCAACAGCTCTTGGCTGCTGGTGACTTGTTCTCCGGGGCGCCAGCAGCTCAAACAACAGCTGCTGGTGGCCCGGAAGAACGAACAGGGGGAATCGCTGGAACGGCGGAAGGGCTTGCTTACCTAGCAGGGCGGGAATTTTCCTCCCAGCGGTCCGGTGACAGCGCACCAGGCTGGCCTTGGGGATCAGTCGGCTTTCCTTCGCCTGCTTGGTCCTTACCTCGTGCACGACGACACGCCGGCGTATGCCGCGGATGAGGGCTCTGACCTCCCTTCGAATCAGAACCAGAGCCGTGCTGGAGAGCTGACAGGCGGCCGGCGGCGTCTCCGAGAGGTAGTCTAGGAACTGAGCCACGTTCTTCAGGTAGTGCTGCCTGGTGGGCTCGGCCATGCGCGTCTGACCTAGCCGGGCGGCCCACGCTCGGATTCGGGCTGGTTGGTTGAGGAAGAGGAAGTCCCCTGGCTCCGCGGTGCCCCTGGCCATGTAACCAAGGAAGGCTTTGATTCTCCCCAGCTTCGAAGTGACGTTGTTCCGCAGGCGGGGGGTGGGCTCGCTGCCCAGTTGGTACCCTTCGAACTCCCCCAAGAGAAGGTCTGTGGAACGAGCACAACCAAGAGTCAACTTCCCCGAAGCCACACACCCAGCAGAGCGACAGTGACGTGCCTGAAATATACTCAACTCAGCGCGGGGACGTGGTCCGGGAACGGGTAGGGTTCCAAAGCCTCCGGAGGCTCGGGGGGCGTCGGACCTCCGGCCGCGCCTCGCCCGGGAGCCGGTGGTGCAGGAGGCGACCTGGTTCTCCTCGCCCGC